CAACTCCCAGAATTCCCCATGCTGGCTGGGGAATTCTGGGAGTTGAAGTCCACTTATCTTAAAGTGGCCAAGTTTGAACAACACTGCTATAGATAGTCCTCCAAGATGATGTGTCCTTGGGTCTTCCAAAGCATGTCCATTGTTGCCGTAACTGACTCAGTTCACCTTTGGTCATTCTATTTGGTCATAAACTTTTTATCTTTCCTTCCGCCTTTTCTAACATTCAGCTCAAGAGAGCTAGGCATTTGCATAATGCATCCAAAATGTGATATTTGAAATTTCAAGGAACAATTGGTGATGTTGAAAAAATTAAAATTGCCACATTTCAGCAAAACAGATGCACACATTTCAAGTTAGATTCCTGTGTATAAATGTTATTTTTAGGAAATTATCTGTAACTTCAGTATTTTTTTGTTTTTTTACAGAATTAAGTAAGATTTACAGTGGGTAAGCATAGAATTTCTGGGTGGCATAGATTAAAAAAAAAAAAAACCTAATGAGTCATTCAGAAAAATAGATAGATCTTTTTGTAAAAAAATTTAACAATTATGAACACTATTAAAATTTATTTATTCATTTAAATTATATACCACCCAACTCCCAACAACGATAATGTACAACATATATACGTTATGGCAATCCTTTTGATTTGGTTATAGTCTCTAAATCTTCCATTGTTTCTCTGTCATTATTTGGAATACATAAAATCAATCAATTTATTTTCTGTATGTTCCCATTTAGGGTGCAAAGGATATACCCTAAGATAGACCTATAACTTTTTTTGATTTCATTCCCTCCCTCTGTCTTTCCATTTTGGCATTTTATGGAGAAACTGAATGAAGCAGTTCAGGCTTTTTGTAGTCTTGACATCTGTTGAAACAGTGTGTAATTTAGAAGCTCTTCTGATCAAATTTGATGAAGATAGCTTTATGTAGTTTCCACTTTTCTTTATACAGCCATGGATTTAGTTCAGAGCACCTAGTTTAATCTTTATACATAGCATACCCTAATTGAATAGTATTTACAATGATAATTATTATGCATTTCAAAATCTTCCAAATTATTAGTATAAGTAGAAACAGTCATAGTACTGAATTTGAGTTTGAATACATAATCTTACCCTGACTCTAAAATCTGATAAATAAGGTCTTGTATTCAAAGCATGAAATGCTATATAGTCTCATCCAGAGGAGAAATATTTGTTCATTCATTTGGTGTAAGATGAGACTGACTCTTTGCCTTGATGACTAGTTTTTTAAATTAAGAAAACTTATTCTTGCAGTTAATGAACATCAGCACAGAGCTACTGAAGGAAAAAAAACCTCATTTGTTAAACATGAAGTAGTTATTGATGGGGGTCTCAACAACTTTTAGTATATCTGAGAGAAACTGAAAAATTGAAAATAGGAATGTGTTGCTACCAGTTAATCCTGTGACTGCTTTAAGAGTACCTTTTTTTTTTTTTTGGTGAGAATTCCGGGAATGTTAGTTTTAACTACATCTTGGATGGACCAGTCTGAGAAAGCTGAAAACCAACCTTCCTTCCTTCCTTCCTTCCTTCCTTCCTTCCTTCCTTCCTTCCTTCCTTCCTTCCTTCCTTCCTTCCTTCCTCCCTCCCTCCCTCCCTCCCTCCCTCCCTCCCTCCCTCTTGCCTGCTCAGTTTGTGTGTGAATTTGTATTTAATAGAAAATTATCACA